TGATCCCAGTAAAATATATCCTCAAGAAACGGCGAATGACCTAAATCTGACTTGTACATATTCTCCAATCTTTTCTTTATGTATCTCTGAACGTATGATTTAAGTGGTTTCTCCTTTGTTACTGTAAATAGATCCTCTGCCTTTACATATGGGCATCTATGTACTATACTGATACCCACACGGAATTTCCTGTCCAAAGCTTCTCTCTGCGTCTTTGGGAGAAAGGAATAGAAGGGAAAAATCCACGCTAAATATGGAAAGACATATGCAAAAAAACATTGTCTTAAGGCCTGAACAGAGACTTTTCTACCTCTTTTCAACCACTTCAATTTCACCAGAGCGTTTCCGATTTTCTCGAGACACTGATCTAGCGTAGGTTTAAGTGACAGCTTATTCGTCCATGTGAATCCTAAATATTTAAAAGCATTCACTATCTCTAATTTTTTCTCTTGCATGAAAACATTTATTTTCGGTTGTTCTATTTGCGTATAGAACACCTGTTGGACCGTCTTCTGTACATTGATAGGCTGCTTCCATTCCTTCGCATACTCTAGTATTCTACTGCACTCTAAAAAAAATTCGTTTTCTCACAAACCTAAACCGCTTTGGAAACCGTTTCGGAAATCTATAAAGGCATCCGGAAAGGTTTCGGGACATTGTTAAGTTTCCGAAAATATCTGCTGCGTTTCTGAGTCTCCGAAAACCAATGGATTTCCGAGAATACGGTTGCGGAAACCCTGGGCTATTGTTGAAAATCGAAAGGTTTCTGCGGAAACCCTTTTCAATTCCAAAACCTTCTCGGAAATCATTGACGTATCCTTGAATACCTTTGTGTTTCCGATATTTTTCTCTCGGAAAACTTTCCGGGTTTCCGAACCTTTGGAAAATCTTTGAGTTTCTGAAAAAAATCTCGGAAATCCATTATTCTTATGAAAAATCCAAATATCAATCGAATATCCTCTTTTAGATCTTCATGTTTTCACCATACAATTTTCAGGCTTAACAGTTGCTCGATACGAATAACATGAGTTTTATTCAAGTGATGCGAAATTGTTTTGAAAAAGTATTAGAACTCTCATAATACAAAAACAAATGCTTTGTTCCCGAGAAAATCTTGATTTGTTTTTATATCTTTCCTTATTTAAAAATTTGAATGCAATATGACAAGTTTTATTGTGAAAATCAGAGAGCAGGAAAGAAATACTAGGTTACTCAAAGAGTCATCAAGACTCAGTATTAAGAGACTCGCAGACGGTGACTGACTTCGAGACTCTGACTGACATCAAAACTCTGTATTAAAAGACTTGAAGACTGTGACTCACTTTCACATACTAAGTAACTTCCGATGTCAAAAGTCAGACGCCAGATCACACAAAATCCTATTAGTTCTTGTGCATACAAGAATTTTTCTAAGCTCTGCACGTAAAATCGGTACAAGCACATATGCATTAGTTATCTCCAACGTTTCATCAGATTTTAACTGTAAGTATATAGCAAAACTCTTGTAACATGCGAACATTAAGACATTTATAATAATCGACTAAATTACTCAGATCGGATATTATCAGATTAAATCAGATTCATAAACAAAACAACATACAGTAGATGCTAACGCAAATTCTGTCTGCTCTTCTCTTATCGAGTATGATCTCACTTGCAGCAATTCTAATTGGACAATTCCACCTCAATCTATTCTTATCTTGAATAAATATATATGAAAAAAAATTCCCACGATTACACTAATATTGGTGAGATTTCCATTAGTAAAATGGTTGTTACCTTCACGAGTAAATGTTTTGCAACGTAGCTTCTCAAAGCAAGAATGTACGTCTAAACTTTAAACAGAATTGAGGAATTTTTCCCTCACATAAATTACTTCTCGAAGAATGGAGGTTACAGTACATAGCCTCCTTTGGAAATCTAAATTTTCTTTTCGATATCTCAATTAATATAGATTCATATATACCAATATCGTTATTCGTATATCTATTATATAGAAAAAGGAATTCTCTTTTGAATATCTCAGTAGATATAGATTAGGATATAGATATATCATTATTTCTGTACCTCTGATACAGAAATCTAAGTCTTTTTTGAATGTCTTGGTCGATATAGATCGAGATATAGATATACTTTATTTCTGTCTCTCTGATATAGAAATTCAAGTTTTCATCTGTACATCTCACTCGATATAGGCTGAAATATAATAATATCATTATTTCTACATCTATGATATAGAAATCTAAGTTTTGTTTTCAATATCTCAATTGATAGAAATTGAGATATAACAATAGGTTTATTTTTGTACCTATGATATAGACATCTAAGTCTTGTTTTGTATATCTCAGTCTATATAGATTGAGATATAGACTTATCATTATATCTAGAATCGGTCGAGCGAAAACCTATGTAGGATTTCCGAGGTCGATGTCTTTTTGTGGTACACAAAAGGGTTTCCGGGAGCTTGGAAACCCTTTCCCGGAAACCTATAAAGGGTTTCATATAGGGACAAATCCGGAAACTCTCTATCGGTTTCCGAGAGTACTTATTTTTTTTAGAGTGTGCAGACCTTCGAACCATCTCTTTCGAGAAACTCAATGGCTGAAGCCAGGTTCCTCGTAGCGGGGGCCTTTACTAGTATACTTAAGTCATCCGCGTAGATATGTCCTGAGTGTGCGCCTACACAGTGAAATAAATCACTGTGGTAGACGATAAACAGGTACGGGCTAAGACTACTTCCTTGTGGTAATCCAATATCTATCTGAAAGCTATCCGATCTTTCCTCTCCAAAGGCGATATATGCCAGCCGGTTCCTTAACCATGATAACCACATTTTCAACAATTCCGGGGCATTCCTAATCTAAGTAACTTTACCATCAGTCCGGCATGCCATACGGTGTCATATGCGTTTTTAAAATCTACGTACAGAGCAAAGATTGGCATATTTGCCGCTAGACTGTTTTTAATCTCCTGGTAAATCGAGAGAACTCTTGTACTTAAGAGACCTCCTGGTCTACAACCTGATTGTTCGGCAGGAACTAAATGGGCTCCTTCCGCCCACTTTCGGACTTTTTCAAGAAACACTTTTTCGAATAATTTCGAATGGGTTGGCAGGAGGGAGATTGGTCGCGTCTGGTCGGTTCTCGGTACACCAGCTTTCAACTTGTTCAGGGTAACAATTTTCGCTATTTTCCAGAAATCTGGGTACTGGCCCCTTTTTAGCCAGACATTGAAGCACTTCACTAAGCATTGTACATAAGCTGGTGGGAGTATCTTGATCATATAGTTAGATACTTCATCGTATCCGGATGATTTCTTATTTTTCAATTTCTTTATTAATTTTAGCATTTCTGGTACTGAAATTGGGTCTAGATCGAGTTTAGTGGCTGAGGCTACATTATTCACTATTTGGTTGTACTCCTACTCTATTTCACGATCATGACGATCGTTTTCATCTATAAGGGGAGGCTTCGCTTGTTTCTTATAATAATCATATAGTGTTCTCGTTATCTCTTGGTGATCTGATATGATTTTTATACCTGTTGAGAACTTCGATAGAGGGAGTGTTTTCGGTTTGTAAATCCTCGACAAATGAGACCAGAAAGCCTTTCCTCAACAGTCATGTGCCTCTTGTATAAAAGAAAGAAAGCTACTCTAACAACTCGATGTATATTTAATAATCTCATTCTTAACGAGCCTGGTCATTACTCTTAAATTAATTCTGTTTTCTTCATCACCTATTCCTCCATTTATTTTCCTTTCCCTATAATATCTATTTCGCACTTTGCGAACTTTCTTTAGCATCTGTACTACGTACGGTGGCAAGGCCGGGCGATATTTATCTCTGTTCTTCCACTTAGTTACTCTATTCTTCAATGCAGCTAGAAATCGTACATAGTTACGATACCAATTATCAGCGTCTTGCCTATCTGATTCTTTTATCCAAAATTCTTGTAGTAGTCCTAACACTACTTCGAAACCCTTCCAATTTACTGCTGGAAATTGTCCACTTGTTTGGAATCCTATCTGCTCACTCTTCAGAACGATCGTCATTGATTATGTATACCTATCGGTTTCATTTCTCTCTCTCTCTTCTTCATGTTTTTTTTTGTTCTCCTCTGTT